AGCGTCATTGGGGTAGATATTGAAATGCTCACCCCGCCGGCTGAACAAAATACAGAATCCCAATGATCGGCACTGTATGCAGCTATGGCAATGTAAGTCTTGTCCACGACATTCAAAGTTTACTATGTAGTTACTTGATTAATTGTTAATAACTTTCTTTTTCATTAATAATACTAATAACAAGCCCAGTCCGTTGGACTTCCATCGGCTGTGTCCGCTGGAATTCCGTTGGACTTCCGTTGGATTTGTCCGCTGGAATTCCGTTGGACTGCCGTTGGATCTGTCCACTGGAATCCAGTGGACTGGTTGCTAGTTTGCTGTGAGTCCATCGGAAGTCCGACGGAAAAGTCCGACGGACTTGGAGGTCCGACCAGAAATGCTCGGAAAAGCATCGGAAAATCCCCGGAAAAATTGCTGCAGTGGTAAAGCAAAAAAATACCTGTTCTGGATACCCTCAGTCCGACGGAGTCCGCTCAGAGTCCGCTCGGAAAAGCAGTGGCAGCGTAAAGACCTCGGAGGGAGAGGAGAAGAGGAGGAGAGGGAGAGAGGAAGAGAAAGAGAGAAACAACAAAGAACTTGATGAACTGTCATCTGTTAAAGTGGGTTGGGAGAGATGTTTGATATCACATGCAGGGGTTTGACTGGCAGGGGATGGTAATTGTGGAACACTACTGAGCATAAGTGTCCTACAAGTAGTGGGACAGCTGTAGGGAGTCTGACGAATACACAAATGAAGGTGTGAAGACCCTCATAGAGATCAAGAATCATAGCTAAGTGCTGGGATTGTAGAACATGACTGTTCACGGAACTTGTATCCCGATTTCCACAGACAGTCCCAATGGAAAGTGCTCTAGCTGTGTAAACAGGTCTCTCAATCTCCACTGATCTCTGAGAGCTGGATCTAACCATTAGTAGAGCTAAGTATCAAGTGATACAGAGGTTATGGTGGTAAGAAAGATGAATTCTGCCTCATGTACGACATGAGGTATATGTACAGTGCTTATGTAATGAAATGCAATACAGTGGAAGAGAGTTGAATCTTGGGGAGAGGGAAGTACCAAGTGCAACAGTGAAGCCTTACCAAACTGTCATGCTACAGTAATACAGATGTTGGTGGGGTATGCAGATAAGGTGCAACTGGACAGAGAAAGAGAGAAACAACAGAGAACTCTGGTTTTTGAAACTGGATTGGGAGAGATGTTTGATATCACATGTGGGGGTTTGACTAATACAGATGTTGGTGGGGTATGCAGATAAGATGCAACTAGAGATCTCGGAGCTGAAGTAGAGGCAGATGTGAAGGGGATTTCTAAGCAGCTAAAAAATTCCATAGTGTGAACTGTATCCATAGTGTCAAAGTGGATAATGCTTAAGCAACTCAGGAATCTTGGACTGAATAGCTTCAAGGTGAATCACACATGTCATTGATGCCCAAATTTGTTAGAGGAGAATGAATGAATCTGTAATGCAAACTGTAATTATGGTGTGGTTGGAAGTGGTAGATTACAGATGCTATTAAGGCCCCTTATTGCTACCTACATACTGGGAGCACAAGCCAGACATAGTGCCAAAACCCCTAGCAATCATTGCAGAATGTTCCAGAATATATACCCCAGACAGCAAAAAAATCACAAGTTTTTTGCTGAAACTAGGACCCCTGACACCCCTACAGACCAGAAAAATATATCCTTACCACATCTGTTTCACAAAATATATCCTAAGGCCAAGCCAGGGCAAAAATATATTTCTAAGGTGTGACAGTGACATTTCAGGGTCCACTCACCAAAAATATATCCTTACTGCATTTCACTTGCAAAATATATTTTGGTGGTGTGACACAGACATTATAATTTTTGTGTGACATTTCAGGGTCCATGTCTCAAGAATATATTTTAGATTTCAGGGCTTTCTAGGACCCATATATATCTAGAATATAGATATGGTCCATGACATTTAGTCATGTAACTTACGTGGAGTTTGCATGACTAATAGTCAGTTGGCAGTGGGTGACTGAAGTGGCCAGCACGAACAATTTCATGTCGTGCGCAGATGCACATTCCTACACCTGTAGAACGCAAGCCAGCCGAGAATTGAGTCTCAGCATTGGCAAGAGTCTTGAAGCCGGTACACGTGCTAATCTTCATTTTGAGATTAGCGCAAGTCAAATGATCAAGGAAGCGGTCGCTACTCACATCCTTCTGTGTGGCATATTTGAGAATGTGTTTTTGATAGGGTGCATCTTCGGGGAAATAGGCGAAACCGGTGTGAAGACCAGGGTCCTTTTTCAGGCTTGAACGCATGAGGTTCTTGAGGCGAAAATTCGCATCCATGGCGACGATCAGAACGTACAGGAACCTAACGAATGATTAATGTTAGTGCCTGGATGGTGACAGCCGCGAGGAAACAACATACTTCCATTCCAGGCCAACATCCCGCCAGTTTTCAGGGAGATTAATGCCAGGGATAGGACATGCAGGACAGATCGTAGTGAGGTCCCCCCGGCCAGTCGAAATTAGCCCATTCTTGATATTCCCCCGGCCATGTCGTTTCAATAACTTGAGGTGGCGAAATTCGCGAATCATTCGCATAAGGGACTTGTAACGCGTCTGAAACAAAGGGATGGTCGTGACTTTCAACACAAGCAAGAAACAGCATCTGACTCACCTTAGGGATCTCCAGCTCCGTGTTGTCTGTCAGGTATTCAAGTGATTTGTAGAACTCGTGGGCAGAGAGCTTTCCGGTCAGGGTGACGACGTGGAACAGCTCAAGCAATCGGAACGTCGCGCACATTTGGGGATGGTGGACGGTTGCGGGAAACCACTCGCTTCGAATCAGTTGTTGCCGGTTCGAAATCATCCGTTGATCGCAACCACAGAAATTGACCGCGACGTGATGCAGACCGTTGGTGTGAAGCACGGTGAAATCTTTATGGCCAGGTTGGGGGCTAACGCAAGTTGAATTGGTGTGGCCAACCTGAACACGAAGGCCCATGGACTTTAATGATATCTTCTCGAAATATGACCCGTTCCACTTCTATACGTAATTCAGCAAACCGAGAGTGAGAGCGGGTAAATGCTCACCTGAATGATATGGAGGGGGAGCAGTTGATGACGGAAGACGCAGCAACTCGAGCACTCTAGAAGCCGGCCCATACAGTCCTCGCAACGGTATATCCCAGGATTTGTGGATGCACAAGACATGCATTCCACCTCAGCGCTGACGTCGCCTCGTCCTTCTAGCCTCAACATCTCCAGCAGATATTCCTCCCGATAACCGGGATCTGACTTGCTTTGCCCAGCCCACTCACGTAGAGGATCATCCTGTAAGTTGTCAGAAGTGCACAATCGAGTGCAATCAACCACACTCACGGATGTGGGATAGCGTTTTGCGGCTACCTTGGCAGCTACAGGTAAGTCCTCCACCTCCG